GATATTATTAAATTTGCTTATGAATTATTATTCAAGTTATAATAAATATTATTACTTATACTTAACACCCACAAAAATGGTTTACCCAGTAATGTGGCGTGAAATTTATAACTGTTTATTCTTGTACCCACCGAAAGATTTATCGAGTAGTATGGAATGACATTTTTATTTGATTTGTTATTTATTAAATTGTTTACGTAATGACTCGGTGAATTTTTAAGGTAATATACATGATTAATTAGAATTTTATGATCATAAATGATTAATTAACAAATATTATATCATTAAATTTGTTTTCAACGGCTAGTTAACGGTTATTTTTGTAACGGCTATTTACCAATATCTATATATAACACTACAATTCATTTTCATAATCCAAACACTCAAAAATATATTTTTTTATAAGAAATAAAATGTTTAATCTATTACTTATAATTACCATTATCTTGTTTATTATATACGTTTTGCTAATTTTCACGATGATGTATCGTACTGTTGGATTTAAATTTTATGTATTAGGCCTTTGTATAATGTGTTTAGTATTTGCTCTTTTATACGTCTTGAAGAATTAATGATTGTATATGTAATTTTTTGAATCTAAGCATTGATGTTTTATTTTATAGTTATCATGGCAAATCTGGTCAAACTCGAATTTGAAGCTCTCGATATATCTGGGAAAAATTATATCTCATTGACATTGGATGCCGAAATTCATTTGGCGGCAAGGGGATTAGAAAAAACTATAATCTCCCCAAATGATTCATCAATACAGGATAAAGCTAAAGCAATGATATTTCTGAGGCATCATTTGAATGAGGTATTGAAAAATGAATATTTAATTGTAAAAGATCCTGCAGATCTCTGGAAAGTCTTGAAAGAAAGGTATGATCACCAGAAAACGGTGATTCTCCCCCGGGCTCGTTATGAATGGATGCATTTACGCTTCCAAGATTTCAAAACTGTAAACGAGTACAATTCAGCCATGTTCCGCATTTGCTCGGTATTGAAATTATGCGGAGAAAACATAATTGATTACGATATGCTGGAAAAAACGTTGTCCATGTTCCACGCCTCAAATGTACTTTTGCAGCAACAATACAGAGCAAAAGGCCTTGTGAAATATTCTGAGTTAATTTCTTGTTTGCTGTTGGCTGAACAAAATAATGAGTTGTTGATGAAAATTCATGAATCTAGACCCACGGGGTCTACTGTGGTCCCTGAAATAAATGCTGTAATATCTAAACAGGGAACCAAAATTGAAAACAGCCAAACATATGTGCGTGGATATACCTCGGGACGTGGCCGGGGTCGTGGACGTGGACGTGGACGTGGCCGTGGATATGGTCCAGATCGTCGATTTGACCAAGTCCACAAATTTCACCGAGGGTATAACTCGGGTCGGGGATATAATCGTGGGCGAGGCCGTAACTATGCCCAAAATTATGAAAGGAGGAGAAATTTCCAGCCAAAATTTGAACAGAATAATGTGACGGAGAATAATGATGAAAAGGCATGTTATCGATGTGGAAGGACGGGGCATTGGGCGCGAAATTGTCGTGCCCCGAGACAAGTTGTTGATAATTATAACAATTCCCAGAAATCAAAAGATAAGAATATAGAAACCAATTTTATGGTTGGGGAACCCTCTGAAAATGATTCAACATGTGCGGATGATGAATATGGCAACGATGACATATTGAACCTGGATTTTGCTGATGCGGTAGTTGAAGACAGAGCTGGAAATGACCACGAGAATAACTGATGATCATGTTTTTTTTTTGCTTTCTTAGTTTTGTTGTACTTATGTGTTTTTATCTGAATTTCGACTTTAATCAATAATAAATGTTGTTTTTCTTTTAGATCATGGATCGATCTCGAATCCAAAATGGAGATATATGTCTTGCAGATTGTGCAACTACTCATACTATACTCAAGGACAGAAAATATTTCGTCAACTTGAAATTAAGTAAAGCAAAAGTAAACACAATTTCTGGAAATGCAAAGATAATTGATGGTTCTGGAAAAGCCATATTTTTTTTTATTGGAGGTACAAAATTTATATTGAATGATGCATTATTCTTCCCAAAATCAACAAGAAACTTGTTGAGTCTTAAAGATATCCGAATAAACGGATACCACGTTGAAACAATGAATAAAGGGGGAGTTGAATATCTTTGCATTACCTCAAATATTGCGGGAAATAAATGTGTTTTGGAGAAATTACCAGCTTTATCCTCGGGCTTATATTACACACGCATTCATATTATTGAGACTTATGTTGCAACAAAGTCACAGGCGAATGAAATGTTTAAACTTTGGTATGATCGACTTGGTCATCCTGGCTCAATAATGATGGAAGAATTATTGAAAATTCTAGTGGGCATCCATTAAAAAATCAGAGGATACTGCAAACACATGAATTGATGTGTGCCTCATGTTCTCAAGAGAAATTGATAATAAGACCATCACATACTAAAGTCGGGCATGAATCACCATTATTTTTGGAAAGGATTCATGGTGATATATGTGGACCTATTCATCCACCTTGTGGTCCATTCAGATATTTTATGGTGTTAATTGATGCCTCTAGTAGATGGTCTCACGTGAGTTTGTTATCCACTAGAAATGTGGCATTTTCTAAATTACTTGCCCAACTTATCAAATTAAGGGCTCAATTCCCAGATTATATTATCAAAAGGGTCAGACTTGACAATGCTGGAGAGTTTACATCTCAAGCATTTAATGATTATTGTATGGCAGTGGGAATTGATGTTGAACATCATGTAGCACATGTTCATACTCAAAATGGTCTAGCAGAATCATTGATTAAACGACTACAGCTTATAGTCAGACCATTGATAATGAGGACAAAACTCCCCACTTCAGTATGGGGACATGCTATTCTGCACGCAGATAATCTAATTCGAATAAGACAAAGTGCACACCATACATACTCGCCATTACAGTTGGCATCTGGTCGAGAATAAAATATTGCACATATAAGAATTTTTGGTTGTGCAGTATATGTACCTATTGCTCCGCCCCAACGTATGAAAATGGGGCCTCAAAGAAGGTTGGGAATATATGTTGGATATGAATCTCCATCAATAATAAAATACCTTGAGCCAAGAACAAGTGATGTTTTTACAGCTAGGTTTGATGATTGTCATTTTAATGAAGAATTATTTCCCCCTTTAGGTGGGAATGAAAAGTAAATTGAGAAAAATATTGAATGGAGAACATCAACACTATCATATCTTGATCCTCCCACCAAACAAAGAGAGCAAGAAGTTCAAAAGATCATACATCTGCAGAATATTGCAAATCAATTGCCAGATGCATTTACTGACACAAAAAGGGTGACAAAATCACATGTTGCAGGTATAAATGCCCCTGCTCGAATTGAGATTACAAAAGAAATGGCAAATGACGATGTGCCAAATGAAATAA